CATTACATTTAGGTTTTAGGGATATAGAATTCTTAATTTAAATTAATTAATAAAAAATTAAATTTTATATTATAAAAAAAAATTTTAAATAAAAAATGATGGATTAAATAAACATTTATTCTTTTTAGAAGATAAAAAAGGGTAGTTTTTTTCTTTTTTTTTTATTTTTTATTTTATTTTTTTATTTTAGTATTAAATACATTTAAAAAAAATTTTAAATAATAAAAATTATGACAATATTAAAATAATAGGCCAACCCAATAAATAACAATTTTAATTTTAAACTTTTTTTATTTTGAAAGTTTATTGGATAGTTTTTGATACATATCTTTAGCGCTAAAATATAACTCCATCACCAAAAAAATAACAACAACAACAACAACAACAACAACAACAATTAAGATATTAATAAGAATTTTTAGTAAAAAGAAATGGGAAAAAAGTATAATCAATAATCACTCTTTTTGAATTTTAAGATAGATAATAAAATAAAAAAAGCAACTAAAAGAAATAAGCTATAAATTCAATAACTTAAAAGCTTATGAAAAGATAATTAATTTTTATCTTTTTTTTTATTATTTTTCTTATTTTTTTTATTTTTATTCTAAAAATATTATATTTTAATAAAACTATAATAAATAAAACAAAATGACATAATCGATTTGAAAAAATAGAAATAATTTAAAATTTTATGAAAATGGATTTAACCATTCAAAAAAAGAAGATAAAATTGAATGCAGATGATCAATAATTAAAGGGATTTTGCGAGATTTTGCACTATAGGATCCAATTGAACCTAAAAAGTATCCAAGTAGTAAAAAAATATTGAAAGATTAAATTGAAATTATAATAAAAAATTTAATGCCATATGGGATCTGTCATAATATTGGGCAAATTAAATGATATCTTTGGAAGAATTATAATTTACAAGTTTTAATTTACACAATTAGAAGTTTACTCCAATGCCAAGTTATTACATTTGAAAGTTTGAAATACATGCATTATCTTACAAAAAAACAAAGAGGTAAAGACATTAATGGCCATACAATTTAGTGACTGCCTGGTGGAAATTTGGAAAAAGGGTAATTTTTGTAGATGAAGCTTGAATTGAATAATATTTTTTATTATTTGGAAACCAAAAATGGATTTAAGGTAAAAGATATCATCCAAATAATATTCTATCAAGAAAGATACCAACTGGAGTTTCTGTGAATGCATGTAATTTTTCTTCAATGAGAGGTGAAAGTTCAATACCAATCTTTTATGGTAATACAAATAGACGAACATATTATATGGTACAGAATTATAAGTATGGTCTCATGCTTGGCAAATATTACTTTAATGTTTAAGATATTAATGTTTTACAGGATAACTGTCCAATTAATAGTTTGGGAATTTTTCAAAAATTTAACAAAAACAATGGAATGTCAAGTCATATGGATCCCAAAATACTCAAGACCTCCACATTATTGAAAATTTAGATCAGTTATATAAATATGTATAATACACAACCTTCAAAGCAATTCTTATGTACAGTATTTTCAAGATTGTTTTGACCGGGTATGATCAAAAATTTTAATTCTTGTGTAAATCCTGTATTTTTTATTTTTATTTTATCAATAAAAGGCGAATATATATAAAAATAACGTATTTTTTAAAAATGCTGTCTTTTTATTTATTATATTTTTTTTTATTTTTTTTTTTATTTTTTTTTTATTTTCCTTATAAAAAAAAGTAGGTCAAATCTTTACTGAAAGATAATTAATTTTTATCTTTTTTTTTATTACTTTTCTTATTTTTTTTATTTTTATTATAATAATATTATGTTTTAATAAAACTATAATAAATAAAACAATATGACCTAATCAATTTGAAAAAATTAAAATAATTTAAAATTTTATGAAGATCTATGTAACAATTAAAAAAAAGAAGAAATAATTGGATTCAGGTGATTAACAATTAAAGGTATTATGATAAATTATGCATTAAATGATCCAATGCAACTCAAAAAATATCCAGATAGTAAAATAATTATGAAAGATTAAATTGAAATGGTTAAAAAAAATTTATTATTAAATGAGATATATCATAATATTCTACTAATTAAATGATATCTTCGGAAGAATTATAATATATAAATTTTAAATAACACAATAATAAGTTCACTCCATTGCCAAGTTATTACATTTGGAAGCTTGAAATATAAGCCTTATCTCACAAAAAAAGCAAAGAGGAAAAGATATCAATGGGCCATACAATTTAGGGACTCACAGTGGAATTTTGGAAAAGGGTAGTTTTTGCAGATGAAACTTGATTTGAACTATATTTTTATTAATTGGAAATTAAAAAATAGATTTAAGGTTAAAGATAACATTCAAATAATATTCTATCAAGAAAGAGACCACCTGGAGTTTCTGTGAATACATGTTAATTTTCTTCTATGAGAGGTGCAGGTTCAATACAATTTTTTTTATATTAATACAAATAGATGACAAATTTTATGGTACTGATTGATAAATATGGTCCCAAGCTTGGCGAATATTGCTTTAGTTTTTAAGATATTAATGATTTACAAGATAACTTTCCAATTAATAGTTTAGAAATTTTTCAAAATTTTTACAAAATAAATAGAATTGATGTCATATTGATCCCAAAATACTCTATAGACCTCATAATTATTGAAAATTTATTGTGAATGTTAAAATACGTTTGATTCATAAGATTATATGGTATTCTCAAGTGGATTTTAAAGATTTATTTGAGAAAAATATGTATGGTATTTAACAAGAAAATATTATTAATATATATCAACCAATCCCAAAAAAAATCAAAGAAATAACTAAAAATAGAGGTGTTTTAACAACATATTGAAAATTTTCAATTAAAATATCAAAAATAAAAAATTATTTTTTTAAACACTTAAAAATTAATTATCTTTCAAAAAAGATTTGACCTATTATAAAAAAAAAAAAATTATAAAAAAAATTAAAAAAAAATAAATTAAATTTTTTTATTTATTAAATATTATAAACCTTTATCTTTTTTATATTTTTGAACCAACTTTATAATATAAAAAAAAAATATATAAAAGAACATATAAAAATTATTTTTTTTCGTGACCCGGTCAAAACAATGTTGAAAATACTGTAGATTTTAATTAATTGATAAAATTTGGTGTAAAATTAAACAAGTTATTGATAATTAACATCAATCAATTCCAAAAAGAATTGAACAAATAATTGCAAATAGAGGTGGTTTCACAAAATATTAAAAGTTTTTAATCAAAATACTAAAAATAAAAAATTATTTTTTAAAACACTAAAAAATGAATTATCTTTTCAAAAATATTTAACCTATCATAAAAAAAAAAAAAATTTAAAAAAAAATAAAAAAAAAATAAATACAATTTTTTTATTCAATAAATCTTATAAACGTTTATCTTTTTTATATTTATGAACCTATTTTAAAATATAAAAATATATAAAAAATATTTTAAAAAAAAAATTTTTTTGGGACCCAGCCAAAAGCTTATGAAAAATATTGTATATAATAAAATAAACCAAAAAATAATTTCAGTTAATAAAGGAAGAAATAAACTATACGATCTAAAAGAAAGGGTATTCATATGTTTATTTTTTTTAAGACATTATACCAGACCTATTGTTATCAAAATGTTATTTGGTATAAGTGATAGCACTTTAGAAAGATACTTCCAAGAATTTTTAGACATTGTTTCACCTTTGGCAATAGATAATTTTAACAGTTATTTTAATAATAGATTTGATAATAGCAATAAAGTAGAATTGATGTACCATTCAAATCATATGATTGCAACAATGGTCGTTGATGGTTCGGAACAACAAATTAGTATACCAAGTGATAAATATATTAGAAATTCATTATATAGCGGTAAAAAATGTTAATCAACTTTAACTCTATTGGTTTATTGTTGCCCTAAGAGCGGAAAGGTATTGCACATTGGTTTTCCTTCAGGTGGTTGTAAAAATGATATTAACTTATTTAAAAAAGATCATAAATTTATTGATTCATTAAAGAGTGCATTTGATACAATTGTTGCTGATAAAGGATTTCGTGGATTAAAACCATTTTATAATAACATGTGTTATTGAAGCAGGTGGTAAAAATAAAAAATATAACAAACAACAAGGAAAAATCCAAAAATCAATCAGGATTATTATCGAAAATGTATTTGCTAGAATTAAAAGATTTTCAATTACAAGCAAAACTTTAAGATATAAATTTAAACAAGGAACTTTTCATATTGAACATGTTTTAAAAAGACATCATATGGTATGGTGTACAGTTGCATTTTAATTAATTGTTATTCAGAAATTAGAAATAATAACATCGAGGAGAATGAAATATTAATTTAATAGTTAAAAAAATAAAATAAATATACACAAAATAAAAATTAAAAAAATTTAAAAAACAACCAAATTATCAAAAAATTTTAATGTAAAAAAAAAAAAAAGTTTTTTTCAGTTTTTTTTTTTTTTTAGTTTTTTTTTTTTGAATTTTGAAGAAATTCATTAAAATTAAAGATAATTCTTTATTTTCAAAATAATGAAATTATTTTTTTTTTATTTTAAAAAAATTATAATCTTTAATCCCAAAAAACAAGGAAAAAAAAAACATTATTTTTTTATTTTTTCAAATTTTTGGTAAAATTTATAAAAAAAAATTTTAGTTTTCATTATTAATTTTTTAAAAAATCACATCACAACAATGAATAATAGTAGTAATAATAATAACAATAACAATAATAACAACCATGATCAAAAAACCTCGGAATTATTTTATCTAGTTTTTCATAATAAATATTTATTTAATAAAATATTTCATTTCATTAATTCAGTTGAACTATTTAAATATAATAATATAAACGATATTCCAGATAATAGAATCTTTTTTAAAAATATTACTTCAGTACATTTCCTATTATACAAAAATTTATATTATTTATTAAAAAGCAAGTTAGAATCTGATGAATATATCCATGTAAATTGTAGTTATAGAATTACAGATATGATTGGTTATGATATAGATTTATCAAAAGAAATATTCAAACTACAATCACAATCAACTTCAATAAGTTGTGAAGACAATGATTCATTATTGTTTGATACTCGCCAATTAAGATATTTTAGTGAAGATTTTATTCAAATTGCAGTTAATGAACCATTCTCTTTTCCAATATTTAGGTCAACATTAAGTTATTTCTTCTCTTATTCCACAAATTCAAAAATTCAAATAATTTTAGATTCATTTTATAATATAAATAACAAAAGCAACAATAAAATACAAACAACTTTCACAAATGAATATAAAAATGAAATAATTAAAGATATTTATGATTGTGGAGATTTATTCCAACGTGATAGAGTATTACAACTAGTTTTAAGCAATAAAGAATATTATAATATACATATTAATAATAAAATCAATATTATAGATATCTTATTCAAAACAATATCAATAGAGAATCAAAATCAATTATTAGATATGAAATTATATTTTTTCCCTGATTATATTAACCAAAATGACCAAAACGAAATGGATGATATAATTAATAAAAATAAAGATATCAATAGAATAATAAAACTATCAGGCTATATTAGAAAACATGTTCAAAAGGATTATGTTAAAAGTTTTCAATTCAATTATTTTTCCAATGGAGAATCAATCCAATTAGAAAACCTAAAACTAGTTTTACAAAACAATACAAATAATTGGAAAAAAATCAAAAACTATTCTCGTCAGCTATCATTTAATACAGATACAATCAAATTTTATTTCGAAAATAAAAAGCACCTATATTTTATGGAATCTGATATTTGGGAAACAATAGGGGTTATGTTTGATAAGTATTTATGCAAATTAGATAAAAAAAAGTTCTGCCAACTAATTGAATCAATACCACCATGTAGATATAAAATTTATTCATTATGGAAGGAAGTGGTTAAAAGAACAAAAACAACGATACCAACTGAATTAATTACAGACTCTATTGAATATAATGACAGTTCAAATAATAATTATAAGAAAAATAATAAATCACCGGAAACAACAACAACATTACTTGTAGTCAAAGATAAACAAACACTCGATTTAATTTCAAATATCTTGGATATATATAAACAAACAATTGGTTACTTTCCCGAATTTTCTACTTTAGATATCATGGGCTGTTATTGGATAGATCTACCCGAAATAGATGAGAACACCTTCAAATTCAATAGTGTTGAGTTAATTAAATATACACATAAAAAAATTTTTAAATTAAATTTAAATATTTTCAAACAAACACCCATACGATCCAAGAAAGCCATTAATGATACTGTTTTGGAAATACCACTCAAAAATGCCATGGAAACATTTAATTTAAAAGAATTAAAATCAATATTCGAACTTACCAAAGATTATAGTTTATCTAGACTATACTATTCATACAAGAAACCAAATCGGCCACTATCATATCAAGATATTACACAACTCACTGAAGTCATCGAATATTTTATCAACATCAATTGTCCTCAAGGTGTTTATTATTGCTTAGATCTAATGCCAGAAGGAAATTATGAACACACTGAAAAAGATAACTATTTAACCAATTTATCTAATAGTTGTGAGGTTTTAACCATTGTATTCGCAATATCAACTAAACTATTATCAGTTCACGTCATCAAACTATTAATCAACAAATATCTTTATAATGCAGATGTTGAAAACAAACTACCAAACTATATCAGTAGCTACATTTTAAATGTTGAAAACCTCAAAACCAATAGAAATCGTCCTATTCCTTTGTCTTTTTACAGTAACCGTTATTATGCCATTGATTTTCAAACACAAAGATACGATAATATTAATATTGATGATCTAATATCAATCATTCATTTAATAATTAATAAATCTAAACAACTACAAAATCAAACACAACAACCAATATCAAATATTAATTATGAAAATTTTATTTTTACTCCAACACCCAAAGTCCATATTTTCCAAGGTGAAGCTCTTAAATTTGTTATCAACATATTATTCAAAATATTAATTCAAAGTAAAGGTGAAGTACCATTTGAAAAGATCAAATCAACTTATCAATTCATCAACAACTCTGGTGTAACTACAGTTCAAAAATCAACATTATTTTCAATTTACTATCTTGCAAATAAATCATTAACACTCATCAAATATTTACTTGGTTTACCAATCTTTAGCGATGCTAAAGACGGTGTGAGCTATAACTGGGATGGTACTATTTTTTACCGTCAAGATCGTAAAAAACAGGGCAAAATAGTTTTAAATTTAAACGACTATATTGATCCAGAAGTATTTTCATTCGAATATATATTTGGTAATAATAATTGTATTAATTGTGACAATGGAGCACCATGTATCGATATTATTGAAAACCTTCATCAAAATATTTTTAACAAATCATACACAATCTTCAAAGAATCACCCCCTATCAATATGATCACTGACCTTTATATTCAAACTATAAAAACCTTGTTCTTCTTCCAAAGATACGATTTATTTTTAAAATATTTAGAAGAATTGAAACTCAAATACAATAGCTATGATGAACAAAGCAATCGTTTTATTAAAATTTCAAACATTATTCAAACTGGTGACCACACTTTAATATCCACAGTATTGAATGAATACAGCAATTATTGTATTCTTTCAACATCAGAAACCTGCAATTTATTAAAATATAATGTCGAAAATAACACCAACATTGGTCAATCTTTAATAAAAAACAAAATTATTATTAATAATAAGAGTTTTGATCCAGATACAGTATTAGCTCTTCACCATTTAATATTTGACGAGAAAAGCCAATTTAAATTCTCATTTAACATCAAACCATACCAAATGCCATTCAAACTATATCAACTCCTCCTCAACACCTATCCAAATAATACTCTATTAAAACTATCAAAAACAATAATTAATGAAACTATCAATAGAAAAAAAATCCACTTCCTAAAACAACTCTATCAAAATAATCTTGTTAATGATGACATCGATAACATAAACGATGAATATAATCAACTACTATCCCATTTAAAACAAAAACTATCAGAACATAAAGAATATAAATATATTAACTGGTTTAATTAAATCAAATAAATAAATTTTAATATAAAAAACTTTAAATATTTCTTTTATTATTATTTTTTCTAAACTATATTAAGTTAAATGAAACCATCAATTAATATATTAATTTTTAATGTATTGTTCTTTTGATTTATTAAATTAATACCATTTTATATAAATATATAAGAAAATAGATAATTATAAAATAAATTAAAAAAAATATAAAAAAAAAAAAAAATACCCTCTTTTAAAAAATTAAAAAAACTTCCCTTTTTTTTTTTTTTAATTTTTTATTTTTAACCCCTAAAATAATACAAAATGCAACCTGCCTAAAAAAAAAAATTTTAACCCCTAAAATAATATGGAATATTGCCTACCGAAAAAAAAAATTTTAAAATAAAAATAAGGGGTTGTCTGTCTTGAATTTATCTTGACATTTTGCCAAAAAAAAATTAATTTCAAAAAAAAAAAAAAATATATTTTTTACATTATATCTCAGGATCGAGGTTTAAAACTAATTTTTAAAAGAAAATCCGGATCCTTTTTCCCTAAAATTTAGGATCAAAAAAATCCTTTATATAAATCGTGTATTTTTAATTATTATAAAAAAAACACCATTAATACATTACTCTAATTTTATTTTTATTAAATTATATTAAAAAGTTAGAATGCACAACCACTTTGTATTTTTAAACAGTTTTTTTTAATTGTAAAATCAATTAAATTAAAATATTTTTTTATGAGGGTGGAAATTTACAAAGGGTTAAAACTGTTTGAAAATTAAAACAATTTTTTTAATCCAAAGTAAAACAAATTTTTTTTTTTTTTTATTTTTCTTTTTTAAAAATTAATAATCATAAACATTTTTATATTTTATTTATGATTATTAAAAAATATTTTTTTAATAAGAAATGAGTTCTAAAGGACAGGTTAAGGAAAAAATTATTAGTTTCTTAGAATCAAAAGGAATTAATAATGCAGTAGAAAATTTAGAAATGAATGATTTAGGATGTTTGTATTTAAGCTTTTTTTAATTTTTTTATAAATAAAACATATTAATTTTTTTTAAAAGTGGATAGTATGACAATAGTAGAATTAAGTCAAATATTAGAATTTTCCTTTAATAAAGAGATTTCAATTGATAATTTATATGGAAAAACAATCAATGAAATAGCTGATTATATTTCATAATATTCAAAATAGTTAAAATACAATTTAAAATTTAATATTTTTTAAATAAAAATTAACTCTAAAAATAAAAATATTATTTTCTTAGAGATTTTTTATCGATTATTGCTAACATATTCATTTTAAGATTTTTTAAACAAATATTATCTTTTTTTAACTTTTTTTTTTTTTTTTAAAAAATTATTATGAAGATTATTATGAATTCATTTTTGTCCATTTTATTTATTTTTATTTTTTTATTTTTTTTTAAACATTGATTAATAAAAGAATTAATTTTTTATATTTTCCAGAGGTTTTTTTAGAAATTTTTAAAACTAGGCTTTGATTATAACATGATAAAAATGCTTGTTTGATATTGGCGGCTTGGTAATGTTGGGTAATTGAAAGTCTTGTTAAGTCATTCTCTTTAGAACCCCAATGTGATAAAGCACGATTAAAGCATTCTGCCCAATATCTATATGGCTCTTTGGCATAAAGTAAAATATCCAAAAGTGCCGAACCTACATTACCGATAAATTCTAATTCGACAGCTCTGACTAATGAATGTCCTTTAGGATTTGCATTTTGGTAGAAAGAATCAAGTTTTGAGAGATGAGCAAAAGAACGTTTTGTAAAAATTTCAATAAATGGTTTTTCATCGGTACCTCTTTGAGCTTCACCAGCTTGATATAGTCTATCTGAATCTTCTGAAACTAATTTCATATCAACAGTAGTTGAATCATCATTACGATTACCAATGTTTGAATCTTGATCACTATTATCTTGATCTCTATAATTTTGAATCATAGATAAAGCCAAGCTTCTCATTATGGAACCCTTGAACTTTTCTACTACTACATGCTCTAAATTTGATTCATATTTTATTAAATAAATTCTTTTAATCATTTCTTTTTGCTGATTATTTCTTGTAAAAAAATATTTATTATATATATAAATTTATTAAATATTCTTTTTTAATAAAAAATGTAATTTTTTCTTTTTTTTAGTTTTTTTTTTATTTTTTTAATTTATTTTTTTATTTTTTAATAATAAATAAATAATAAATAATAATAAATAATATATTATAAATATTAATAGAGCATTTAAAATTAAATAAACATTATGTATCATCAATGACGATATACATAAAAAAGGTCAACCTAATGTTTAACAATTTTAAACTTTTTTTATTTTGTATTAAATATTTAGATCAGATATAGCAACAAACAGCGCTTTTTCAAGTTTTATAGGGTTTATAAACAAAACAAATAATAATATTTTTGAAGATTTATTAGATAGGTTTTTGATAAATATATTCCACCACAACAACAATTAGGATATAGTAAAATTTAGTAAATAGAAATAGGAAAAAAGTTTAATCAATAATTTCTCTTTTTGAATTTTAGGATAGTTTATAAAATAAAAAGAAACTAATGGAAGTGTAGTCATATTAAAAGATTAATAGTACAAATAAAAAAATAGTTCACAATGGGAATTTCCCAAGTTGGTTTTTGACTCATCAATTAAAAGTAATTCTGATTTTTTTATTATTTTATTTTTTAAATTTTCTTTGCCACCATCAAATGATAGATGTGATTTTTTAGCCACATTGGATTAATAGTCAAATTTAGAATAATTATATTTGTATTTTAAGCCAATAATTTTTCCTTTTATTGTCTATACTTTAATTTTAGAAAATAGTGCAAAACAGCAGCAGGCAGAATTAAAGTTTAAAAGTGAAAAAAGCAATAAAATTACAACAATATTTTCAATACCATCATCACTGTCAAAACTAATATAATCTGACTCACTACCATTACACAAAACCTAAAGTGAATTTAAAAAAAAACAAAACCGGCTTCTTTTTAAAAAAAATACATAAACAAAATCATAAATTAATAATTTAATAATTAAATAAATTAATTAATAAAAAAAAATTAATTACTTTGTAAAACAAATAAAATAGATTTTTATATTGGAATTCTAAAAAAAATTAATTATTGTGTGGTAATAAAAAAATAAAATTTATTAATTTGTAAATTGGTTGTGTGTTTATTTTTCTTTTTTTCATAAAAAATTTTTATAATTTGTAAAATAATTTTTGCACTTATTTTTAATTTTTGTTTAATATTAAATCCTATTCAAAAATGGAAGGATGTCCACATCAACGATTTTCTTATGAAGAATTATTTAAAATCAGTAGAAAGAACTATTTAAATGTTATCGAACAATTAGTCCAATCAAGTGATAATAAAAACATTAACATTAACTCTCGATGCACTCCTGCCTGTAAAGAAAAAATGATAAGAATTGTTCAAGCAACATTCAACCAATATCGTGATGATTTATGTTGGTATTATAATGACGCCAAACTTGTTGATGGTGGGTCTGCAACTGATTATATATGTGCAATGACTGGTATGTGGGAAAAGGATCCATTTTTATACAATTTCACACCCCAACTAAATGAACATGGACAAGTTCCGGAATATCCTAATGTTGTAAATAAAGATATTAAAGAGTAAACTAATGACTGCAAAATCTTTTAAAAAAATAAAATTAATTTTTTATAAAAAAAAACACTCTAAATTTTGTTTACTTGTTACGCTACCCATGGTGGACGAAAAGTTATTATAAAAAAATAAAGTATTTAAAAATAAAATATTAAATTTACTTTAGATTAAATAATTAGTTATTTTTTATGAAAATAAAAATTATTTTATAAATAATTTATTATATTTATTAAAACTATAATTTGTAAAACTAACAATATAATATTTATATAACTATTTTTCTGTAAAGAATTGTTTGTTTCAACAATTGTATTTTTTGAATTTAAAACCTCATTTATATTTAATATTTTTATTTTACTATTACAAATTTGGTTTATTAAAGATGACCTAACAATTTGACAATTTTTTTGAACTTGTTGATGTGTTGAGTTTGAATAGCATTCGTTAATACATGAATATTCATGAATTTTATCTCCCACTGTAAAAGTTTTGATGTAATAGTATTTTGAGGTATTTTCGTTGTAATCTACTAGCGAACATGACCCATTTTTAAAAGATGTTATTAAGTAATTCTGACAGATATCATTCTGTTGCAACAATTTCTTTTCAATACTTGTTTGATTATTTTCCTTTTTATTTCTCTTTCTTTCTAAATATTTATTATGATTGTAGTTTAATGAAGATATTTGATGGCCAAATGAATTTATTTTAATTGGATCTGTATCTAGGGATATTTGATAATAATAAGAGTAGTTAAAATCAGTATAACATTTATTTAAAACTTTGATTATGCTTGGTATATTATTTCTATTTTTATTTAAATTCTTTTTACTTCCCTCTTGACAATCTCCTAAAGATCTAACTGGAACTATTTCTATTGTATTGTTATTTCTAAAATAGTTTGAAATGTAACCAAATTCTGAGCATTCGGTAGCACTGATTATATATTTTAAATTATTTTTATTGCACTTGGTACCTTCAAATTCTAAATATCTTATTTCAAAACCAAGTATAATATTTATAAAAAATATAAAAAATATTAATTTAAACATTATTTTATTCTTATATTATAAAATTTAATAATAACATATAAAAAAAATTTTAAAAATTTAAAAAAAAACCACAAAATCTGTAAATAAAAAAAAATAAATAAAAGATAATAATAATAATATAAGATCGTAAATTGTTAATTTTTTTTTTTTATAAAATTTAAATCATCTTATTATAGATGACTACATATTACTATATTTTATTTTAAATAGTGCGCTTTTTATAAAATAGTATATTGGTATTACATAAATAAATTTTTTTTCTTTTTTTTTTTTTTTTTTCTAAAGTATTATAATTATAATTTATAATTTGTTTTAGCCATTACTATTTAAAATATTTATGCCCTAATTATTATTGATTTTTTATTGATTTATATTATTATTAATTATTAATTATTAATTATTAATTATTAATTATTAATTATTAATTATTAATTATTAAACTATTTTGTCTGTAAAATAACTGGAATAAATAAAATACTAAAAATCATTATAAAAACTATTTTATGATCTTTTAAAAAACCAATGGTTGATGAAAGAGTAGATGAGGTTTTACCACTTTGAACTAAAAATTGATCATTGAGAGTAATATTATTTTGGTTATTACGTGATGAATTAACTTTCTTTCTTGATGAGGTTGTTGTATTGGCCAATTTAACATTGCTATTATTTTTTGATTTTGACTTTGATTTCTTTTTCTTTGATTTTGGCACAATATTACTTGATACATCAGTTTGTAGGTCAGAGCTATTGTCTACTTCAATAAATGATGAAACATCAGCTTCAGAAATGCTTTCGTCCTGTGATATATGTTGAATTTGTTTCTTATCATAATCAACACTAATTGATTTTTCAATTTCTTCTTTAGAAGGTGTTAATGCAAATTTGTTTGATAGTGTTGGTGTATTTGATAAGGAATCTAATAAAGGTGATGGTGGAGATGTTGATACTGCTGATGAGGTTGGGGATATTGTTGTTGGATCAACTACGATTAATCCACTGGCACTAGCTGCTGCAAGAATAATTTCTTCAATTTGGTCTTTATCTTTAGTGCCACTAGTACTAGCTGCTGCAATATTATTTAAAACCTCATTTACTATTTTTGATGGTGTATTACAACAAACATTTGAGCTACTATTGTTATTAAAGCTATTATTGTGTGCTGGGGCCAATGGAGGTTTGGATGAGGTTGGCATTGCTTTATCTTTTATTTCATTTTTGGTAAATCTTTTTTGTGGAGTATTATTTTGTTGTGCAGTATAGTTTTGATGTTTTTTATAACCATTACTAGATTTAATATCCTCTTTGGAGTTTGATTTTGTTAATATTGTTGTTGGAGTAGAAATCTTTTGATCCTCAGTTTGAACTATATTATTTGTAACTATATTATTATTTATATTATTAACATCATCAATTTTTGGAGATAAGGTTGAAATTTCTACTGAAGTTAAATTTGATTTTAAATTCTCCCTAGATAATGAATTATTTAATTTTGGTGTACTATTATTAATTGGTACTTCTCTTGAACTTTTTAATGGAGTATATACATTTGAATTATTTGAACTATTTGTTAATGATGATGATGATGACTTTATACCAATATTAAGTGATGATGTTGATTGACTTTTTTTAAATTTAAATGAATCTTTTCTATTATTATTATTGTTATTATTATTATTTACATTTTCAAATGAAGATATTAAATTATTATTACTATTATTACAATTGTTATTACCATTACTACTAATATTTTCTAAAGATTTTTGTAAATCACTGTTATAACTTGGTGAGTTTACTAATTTTGAAATCATTGGTGAAGAATTTTCTCTTTTAATTGGTGTTATATAACCTGAGGAAGATGAAGATCTTAAATTATAACTGCTATGGGAAGGGGTCATTGGACTTGGTGGTACTGATCCATTACTTTTTTCTAATTGTTTGTGTGGGAAATATTTGAATACTCTACCAAAAACTGAATCTTTTAATTGATCACAGATTTTTTCATGAATCTCTTTATCGTCACCAGATTTATTCCAAACACTAATTACATGTCTATTTGATCTAACTGATAAAACAAATCCACACTATAAAAATAATCAATTAGTATTAATATTTTTTAATATTATTATTTTAGTAAAGATAAATACAATATCATGGGAATAATCAAGCTGTTCACCAATTAATGCCAAAATTGTTTTTAATGCAAGGTTATGTGAATGATCTTTGTGACATGATAAAGTCCACTTTCCACCATTTTCATTACATGGATCTTCCCACATTGGTGCTATACCCTGTTTAAATAATCTTAAATTTGTACCATCTGGAAACATTGCTGAGTTTATAATATTATTCCAAAATCCCCAAAATCCCTAAAATTTTAAAAAAATTAGTATATTGAATAAATTGATTTCTATTATTATTATTATTATTAATAATTATTTAAAATGTTATAATTAGAAAAACTTACCTGAATTGTATTAAATGATCCTAAATTTTTTACAAATGATTGATAATCATCACATGATTGACCTTTTAATGTACTATCATCATAATAAAATACCCATTCATACTCTAAATAAGCTGGTTCATGTATATCTACAATTGGTCTTGGATTATCAAACATTTCCCTTTTTTCCTTATATTCCTCTTTTGATGGAGATAATGATAAACTAACTTCTGGGGTTGAGGTGGATGATGAAATATTCATTGGAGATGCTGCTAAATCATTACTGCCCCCATCATCTTCATCATTGTCACTAATTTCCAAATCTTCCTCATAGTCCTCTTCTTCATCATCATCATCTTCTTCTATATATCTTTCTTCATCTTCTTCATCATAGTAGTCATCTTCTTCATCACTATAGTCCTCTTTGTCAGTATAATCATCCTCATATTCTTCACTTTCTTCATTGGCACCATCGTTATACAATGACTTTTTCTCCATTATACCTTTGAGTTCTTCTAGTAAACTCTTATCATTTATTGTACTTGTATTATTTGAATCTGATTCATTTTCTATAACCCAATTCATATTTATGATTTATAAATACAAAGAATGATTGTATGTGCGACTAAATGATTATAAAAAAATAAAAAAATAAAAAAAACACAATCTAAAAAGAGATAAAAACAATTATTTATTGTATATTTTAATTTATCTATTTATTTATTTTAATGTGTTTGTTTATCCTTATTATTTGGGGGAGTGTGTTGTAATAAATTAAAAAATTAATTTTTGAAAAAAAATATGAAAAATTTTTAAGACAATTTTGCATAAAAAAAAAATAAAAAATAAAAAAATAAAAAAAAAAATATTTTTAGAAATAAATAAAATGTGTTGTTAATTTTATTATTTATAATAATAAATAATATTATTTTTTACTATTTTTAATTTTTATTTTACATATAAATTTTAGAATAAAATATGTGTGATATATAATTATTAATATAAAGGGGGGGATGATAATTGGGCTGTATTTCAAATGTTAAAAAAAAAAAAAATAATAAAAAAAAAATTAAAAAAATAATAAAAATAAAAAAAAAAAAATTAAAAAAAAAAAACCCCCTATTTATGTATTATTATTTTATTTTATTCCTGTAGGTATTTATTATTATTATTTTTATTACAACAAAATTTTTAAAAAAAAATAAAAAAAAATAAAGGTTAAGAATTTTCAATGGCAAAAGTGAAAATTTTTTTTTTTTTTTTTTTTTTTTTTAATTTTGAAATTTTGATGACCTGTCTTTGCTCTCAATTTCTTAAGAGAATAACCAGCAACACAATAGTTTAGGTAAAATATAAATGAATATTTATTATACAATAGTTTTGTAGTAATAAAATAAATGCATAAATATAATATAAAATATTGTTTTTTATATAAACAAGGAAATAAATAAAACTATTTTTTTTTTTTAAAATTTTTTTTAATTTTATTAAAAATATTTTTAATAATTTTTTTTTTTTTTAACTGACTGGAATCATTTCGTTTTAACCATCACCACACTCACCACAACAGATTTAAATCTAAACAAATTTAAAGCTTTAGAAATCACCAACCCAAACACACACTAACCCACATCACACCCCCATCTCACACATTATAAATAAAATGAATAATGATCCAACCAAAAAACTAAGTTTATTTCAAAAATGGACTGTAAGTAGAAGCAACATTCAAAATGTTATATATATTAGGTTTATTAATGTTTAATCAAATTTTTTTTTTTTTTTTTAATAGAATATACCCCCAAGAAAAAGAATTATTTTTAGTTTGGCTATTTTTGCATTATCAGCATCAGCTTTGTATTTTGATAATTTAGATCCAAAAAACAACCCATTCTCAATGGATCGTAAAGATATAGTTTATAAAACAATAGATTACACCAAACCAAAGGGTCAAGGTAGGGTTACTATTGTTCAAAATGGTGTTGTTGTCAAAGAAGAATAAAAATAAAAATAAAAAAATAAAAAAACTTTAAATAAATTGTAAATATTAAAAAAAGAATGTTTATGTATAATATATGATGTATATATTAAAGGTTTTATTGATAGTAATATCAATTTTATTTATTTATTTATTATTATTATTTTTTTTTTATTATTATTTATATACAATATTATTTTTTTCTATTATTTTCAATCTCTTCTCTTATTTTTAAGTGTCTTTCAATTTCTTTTTCTATTTCTAATTCTAATTCTTTTTCTCTTTTATTATTTTCTTGTTGAAGTTGTTGAATTCTTTCTTTTTGAGAGTTATAATTTACTGGTGTACGTTTAATTGTGCTTGATCCAGTTACTGCTTTTAAAAAGATATTTTCTTTTTCCTTTTGTCTTTCTAATTCTTTTTCTCTTTCTTTTTCTCTTCTTTCATCCTCTATATTATTTGGGCTTTTGATTTTAATAGCACTTGATAAATCTCCAACTATATTACCTGTTGAATCTTTAATTTTAAAAAATGATTTTTCGATTGATCTAATTTTTTCTCTTACATTAAAACCTAATAAATCTGATAAAACTTTATCGTGCCATTTTCTAAACTACAATTAAATAAATCCATTAAAAGGATATAGTTAATATTTAATTTTGCATTTTATAAGAGTTATTTATAAAACATTATATTTACACCACTTGTAACAGTATTATTGTTATTATCATTATGATCACCAAATTCTGAGATGCAACATAAATAAAATGAAGTTGTGCAAACCAAAGTGGTAATAATTTTGAATTTTAATGGTGATAATGCTGGGGTATATTTTGGTGGTTCCACTTGAATGGTTTTACGGAATGCATATGGATCAATTTTTTGTGTTTTATTAGAATTATTAATATTTATATTTGATGCTGTTTGATTGGGTGGGGTTTGAGGATTTGGTGGGGTTTCCATTGTTGGCTTTATTTTATCGTGTTATTTAATAATATTATTAAAAAAAAAAAAAAAAAAAAAAGATTTTTTTAATTTTTTTTTAATTTTTTTTAATTTTTTTTCTTTTTTTTTTTATTTTTTTTTTATTTTTCGTTGCATTTTTATTTTTATTTTCATTTAATTAAATTATTTATATAAAAACAGCTTTATTATTTCATTTAATAAATTTTAAAAAATTATAACAAAAAAAAAAAAAAAGTTAATTAATATAAAAAGTTAATTAATTTATTTATTCATCGATTTTTTAATTTTTTAATTTTTATTTTTTTGTTTTTAAAATTTTTTTTTATTTTTTTTTTTTTGTAAACACATAATCATTACCTTTTTTTTTTTTTACTTTTTATTTTTTTTTTGTTTAAAACGAGAAATACTACATCTTGGGTTCATTTGTTTTAGTTTCACAAATTTATTTATAATATATTCTATATTTGTTACATATATATATTTAAAAAATGAATAAATTATATAGACCAACCAATATTTTATTAAATAAAATTATAAAAAGGAATTATATTTCAAACTTTAATTCAATAAGAAAGTTTTCAATTGTAAATCAAAACTCAAACTCAATTATAAACAACCAAAATAAATATAAATTTTTTACAACACAAACTTTAGCCAAAGAAACCAATAATAATACCAACACCAGCACAACAAATATTCAAAGTGATACTATTATAAAACAACCAATAGAACAAACATCACTACCACAAGGGGATAACTCTAAATATAATATTACACTTACTGATAGTTGTGTAAAGGAGCTAAATAGAATTCAAAGTCAAATGAAAGATTCAATGTTAAGAGTTATGGTGGATATGGGTGGTTGCAGTGGTTATCAATATATAATAAAAATTGAAAATAAAATGCAAGAAGACGACGTGTGGGTATTAAAAATAAAATCAAATATATCTTAAAGGGTTTACTAACTAATTATTTATCGTAATTTTATTTAGATTATTCGAAAGAGATGGTGCAAAAGTTATTATTGATAAAATTTCATTAGATATGATGGTTGGATCGGTTATAGATTATGAAATCAATTTAATGAGAAGTTCATTTTGTGTCGCAACAAATCCAAATACAATTAAGTCATGTGGTTGCAAAATTTCATTTGATTTAAAAAAATAACAATAAATCTAAATAATAAATTAATAAATAAATAAATAAATAAATAAATAAATAAATAAATAAATAAATAAATAAATAAATAAATAAATTATAATATAAAATATAAAATATAATAATATTAAAAAAAAATATTTTATTAAATAAAAATTAAAAACACCAAAATCAATAGTAATAATAACATCATAAAAAATTGTTTCTCCTCTTCATTCCTCCACTTTCCTTTTTTTTAATTTTTTTTTTTTTTTTTTTAAATAAAATAATTTTAAATCAACCTTCTTGATTATTATAAAAAAAAGATATTTTATTTTTTTATTTTGCCGAAATAAAAACCCAGCCAAAACCCACAAAAAAAAAAAAAAACAATTCATAATATCTTATCCAAAAAAAGATTTTTATTTTAAAATATATATTTTAACATTTTATTTTTTTTTTGAAAATTTTCTTATCATTTTGTTTTTTCTTTTTTTTTTTTCATTATAAAAATGAAATTATTTATATCTTTAATCCTTATAATAGGAATTTTTTTAAAAAATGTTAATGGTCAATTTGATACAAATCAAGGTATTTTTATAAATATTTTTTTTTTTTTTTTTATAAATATTTACTAATTTTTTTTTTTTTAGTGAAAGCATTAAATACAATATCAAATAATTGTGGATTTACTTGGGTTACCCCAATGAAATGTGGTATGATTCCCACCAATGCTGCAGGTTTAAATATAGTTGTTTATTGTGACTCAAATAATAATATTAATGAAATGTAAGTATATATATTAAAGGTGATAATAAAATTTTTCATAACTAATAAATATATTTCTTTTATAGCCGTTTCGAATCTACTGTTACAAAAAGATGTGGCCTATCCGATGATATTTATAACAGTTTCCCAAATTTACAAAAATTGTTAGTAGTTCTATTAATTTAAAATTTCAATTACTTTTTTATTAACTTTTAAAAACATTTTAAATTTAGAGTTGTTAATAATTTAAATGATACCAAAATTAGTCAAACAATTTATCAACATCCCAAAATAGAAACATTCATTGCTACAACCACAAGTGGTAGTTTTATTATAGATAATAATTCATGGCAACAAATGGTTTCATTGAAATATTTAACATTGGTTGGTGTTGTTGGTACTATCCCAACTTTTCCATCAACATTAATCGAATTGTAAATTAAATATAAATATTTATGGCTTTAATGTGTAAAGTTTATTTTCTAACATTTTTAATTTTTACTCTTTTTAATGTAGTACAATAGAGGCTAAAGGTTCAGCCGATTTAGTATCAAGAGTACCAATAGAAATATTTACACCATCATTAAAAACCTTGTAATTATTATATTATGATCATTTAAATCAAAATTTAATTTATATTAACAAAAAATTTTAAAAAAAAACTATATTAGCTCAATCTCTTTTTTTACAAAACCAACAAATCAACCAATTGTTACACTTAAAGATTATGACTTCTTTTCAAAATCTCCAAGTCTTACTAAATTTTTCTTTTATTTTATTGGGTGCCCTGCCGAATTTGATGTTTTATTCAATCCACCATCTTCTTTAACTGTAATGCAAGTGTTTGGTTTAGAGTTAGTTAATAACACATTTCCATCCATTCACCAGGTTCAATGGGATAATTTAAATATTTTAGTTTTAAATGCTATGAATTTAGGGGGTAAAATATCAAAAGAATTTTTCTATTTAAAAAAACTTTCAATTTTTTACTCAACATCAAATCTAAATTTACAAGGTCAAATTCCATCAGACTTTACTCAAAAATCCTCATTATCTCAATTGTTTTTACGTGATACTGGTTTCGATGGCACCCTCCCAAGTGATATTTTGGATAAAAATTTAAAAATACTAGATATTAGAGGTACCAAGATTAAAGGTGTTGCTCCAGATATTTTCCTTTGTTTACCAAATACTGTTTTCACTGGAGAAGATGTAAATTATAAAATTCAATTTGATATTGGTGTGTTTTCAAATTTTCAAGTAGGGTTTAAAATTTATTATTATTCACTAGTATATATTATATTTTACTAATATCTTTTTTAAAATAATTAGTCGGTATCTAATAGATCACCATGTGTCCCAAGTATTAAGTCATTAACAAATCCAATAGATTCAACAACTTATTCGTTACTTATTGAAGGTACAATGTTGGGCTCTTTTACACCATTTACTTTAGTTAAAATGAAGAATCAATTATATGAAGTTGATTTATATTGTCAAACAGCTGTTCCTGCAAAGTCAATATCATGTAACAATCCAGGTATTTTTGGAAATGGTACATTAACTGTTTTTGCAAAGAATCTAGCCTCACCTTTACCAAGTGCAACTATTAATTTTAAATATTCTGAGCCAGTTATTTCATCAGTAACTTCTTTAAAAACAGTTGGTGGAAGAATTACTATCTTTGGTGCAAATTTATGGATTGGTAGTGCACAAGCTAATGATGGTTCAGACTATAATTACATAAAATTGGTTAAAGGTGATGGAAGCTCTGTATCTTGTACCGATATTAATATCATTTCAGCTTATAGCACTTTATCATGTATTTTACCAGCAGGAATTGAGGGAGGTTTATTGGTGGTTTCAGTAAGCGGCCAAAAGAATATTGATGCATATGCTTTTAATTATCAAGGCCCAGTTGTTAATAGTTTTATAACCCAACATAATAACTTAATTCCAAATAGCAAAGAAATCTCGGTCACAATAACAGGTTCAAATTTTTGGAATGATCATAGTTTGGCTCAGGTATCACTAGATTCAGTAGAATGTAAAGTCACCAGTATCAATGATGGTCAAATTATTTGTTTATTCCCAGCCACTCCATTTAAATTACCAGAGGGTTTATTGGATCTTTCGGTATTTATTAATGGTCAAGGAGCTTTCAAATATGATTTTGTTAGTATGGTCGATCCCTTAATTTGTCCAAATAATTGTGGTGAAAGCAAGTGTGACCCAATAATTGGTATGTGTATGTGTGAAGGTATTACATTTGGCCCCGCATGTTCATTAAATACAACAGAATCATCAAATAAAATCAGTGTAATAAATAATAGACCAACTCTAATGATTACCCCATCACAATCAACAAATGAAACCACATTCGCAGTTTCATTAGTTTCAATAGTAGAGGGAAGTACCGAGATTATCCTCGATAGTTGGAGTTCAAAATCCATTAATGATTATACAACCGAATTCACTTATACTGGTGATCAAGGTCAAGCTGTCTTTGTTACCATTAGAAAAAATATAGCTACAGGTAAAGATGATTTTATAACCTATCCAACTAATAGTTATACATATCATGTTAGATATCAAGCATCCAAAGACTCTAATGTTGATTTACCACAATTTAAAATTGAACTCGAACCATACCCATATGAATGTGCCAGTTTTCCAATTAATTTTGCTTATCCATCAAGTTCAGCATCAGATTTACGTTTCTTTAGTTTAAATACATATAATGTACAATATTTTGGTCGTACACCAATTAAAGCATTTTATAATAGCGACAATAATACAGGTACACTTACAACAAGTGTAGTCAGTAACACTGGTAATAGTTCTAGAATCCTTGTACAACTAAATCAATACTCTGTTGAATCTACAGAGTTTGAATTTGATTTCACAACATATGCAAATACTATTCCAAGAGAACCAGTTATTAGTGGTTGTGTTTTACCAACAAAACCAATAAATGTAGAAAAGAACAATGGTTGGAAAATTGGTGTAGGTATTGGTGTAGGTATTGGTGGTTGTATATTAGGTGCAATTATAGCTTTACTTATAAAACAAAGAATAAAATTAGAAAAAACTCAATCATTACTAAATAAAAAACTTAAAGAACTTAATTCTGGTTTATAAATTAACTAAATAAAAATTAAATAAACTATTTTACTCAAAATATATTAATCTATTATTATTTTTTTTTTTTGATGTATTTTCTTAATTAATTGAATAAAAATTAATAAAAAAGAAAATTTTATAAATAATGAACAAATTTTTTTTTTTGGAAAATTAAATGTCCTTCGATTAGAATTAAAAGGGAAAAAATTTACTATTTTTTACAAAATATATATAATTAAAAATAGAAAATGAAAAAAAAAAAATTAAAATAAAAAAATTCATCAAAAACTGATACTCACACATGTTTTTATATATCTTTTTTAGTTTATTTATAAAGATATAAAAAACAACATAACTTTATATTAATAATTATTAACAACAATAGTTAAAATAATGTTTATTCACACCCCAATATAACACCAAATATTTACCCCCAACCTTTATTCGAATATAACACACCTACACCCCACACACTTTTTAATTATTTTGAACCCCACCATTCATAATAAATTTTTTGTTTTCTTTTTTTTTATTTAACACATTCATTTAAAAAAAATTAAAACAGATACTGAATATAAATGTATCCTTTATTTAATTTAGATAAATTGGGAAGATGAGAGAAAGAGAATAATTATTTGTGGGTAAATTATATGTATAATAGTATTAATTTTTTATTTAAAAAAAAATAATTATACATCAACTCCATATTTATTATTTAATTTTTTTTATTTATAATGATCATGATATATTGGTATATATAATATTGAAAAATTTTAATTGGGGTACTATTTTTGGGGGAATCGATATTATATAATGTTTTTTTTTTTTTAAAAAAAATTAAATTTGTTTGTAGATTGAGCAAAAAGAGAAAAACATTAAATAATTATTTTAATAATATTTTGTTTTTTTTTCGAAAATATATTGAAATAGAATAAATAATACAATCAAAAAAAAAAAACAGAAATTAATATTTATTTTTATTTTTTTTTTTTTTATATATATTATATTATTTATATTTTAAATATACAATATTAATTTATATATAATAAAATATTAACAATAATAAAAAAAAAAAAAAAAAATGAAATTATTAATATTATTATTAATTTCATTATTAATTAATGGAGCATTATCTATTAATTATAGTGGAAAGTATTTCAAACCAACCGAGTTTAGATTCTTAGCTAGATTCGGTTTTAGTAGTGAAGGTGGTACAATGGAACTACAAAGATTCCAATCCAATTACAATACAACAAAAATATTATTATATTCAGATGGAAATAAATATTTTGATAAAATTGTAAATGACTTTGGTAAAAATAAAATGAGATGTGTAGATAAGGTAAGTTAAAAATTCACTTTTTTAATAATTATCATTATTATATTAACCTATTTTTTAAATTTAAATAATTAGATTAATATGGCCGATTATGAATATTCCCTACCAGACCCAGTTGGTAAACCAAATGAAAATAGACACATTTATGATATTAAACCAATTTCTCAACAACGTGATCGTGTTTGGGTTGTAGCAATTGCAGACTGTAGCTCACAATTCTCTCATTCATATAAACCAGCTTACAAATCCTACTATACCTTTGAATTATCAAACAATGGTGATAAGTTTGATAAAGAACTTTCAGTAGAACAACAATCAATTCCACAAGCTCATATATTCTTCTTTTTATTATTTACAATATTTTTAGCAATTTCAATTGTTTACACTGTTGTACTTTCAAGAAAAGGTTTACAAAACAAAGTACCACTATTCTTCTCCATTATTTTAGTAGTATTCTTAGTTTCTTTAGGTTTATTCATTGCAAATTGGGCTCATATTATTAAATTTAGAAAATATGAAAAGAAATTTTTAAATTTATTTGGTAATAGTAAGTATTTTTTAAAAATTTTTTAAATAATTAATTATTTTATTAATATTTTTTTTTTTATTTAATTTTTTAATAATTAGTTTTTATGATTTTAGGTAATGGTTTATTTGTTGCTTTAATTTTAATGATTGGACAAGGCTGGACAACTTCAATCTATTATGTATGATATCATATAAAGTCCTTTATTTCTTTTTTTTATTTTTTATTTATTAATGTATTATTTATTTTAATAGGGTACTATTATCAAAAAAGTTGTTAATGCATTTGTTGTTAGTGCTTTGGTTATAGTTGGTTGGGCTTTATATATTGTATTTGCTTACAAATCACCAGAACAAAATAACTACATCTACTTTATGGACACTTGTGGAGGTTATGTATTGGCAGTATTCTATGTTGTAATTATTATTTACTTCTGTTGGACCAACCTTATTATTCGTACTAAACAAAATGATGAAGTTAAAAAGAATTTTATTTTAACATTTACCATTATCTTTGCTTTCTGGTTAATTTCACATCCATTGGTTGTTATTGTTGCCCACTTTATGGATCCATGGGTCAAATATAAAGTAATAGCTCTTTTAAATCTTGCTATCAACACAATATTCTTTATTATTCTCTTAATTTTATTCCGTCCAACTAATGAAAATCCAATTGTTGCTGTTATTGAGACTGATAAGAAATTAGGTGATAGACCAATGGAAATTAAAGAAGATGGTGCAGGTGAAAATAAAGTAAATGATTTAAATATTCTTCAATAAATTAATAAAAAATTAATAAAAAATTAATAAAAAGTTTTGTTAAAAAATAAAAATTTAAAAAAAAAACTTCATAATATTTTCACTTTAAATAAAAAAATACAAAGATTGAATAATTAAATAAAATAAAATTTTTTATGAAATTGTTTATGTTTTTATAAAATTCGAAAACTAAACAAATTATTAATTTCATTTTTAAAAAAAAAAACGAAAATAATTTTTTTTTTTTTTTTTTAATTTTATTAATGGACGAAATTTTATTTTGGTGTGTTATTAGAAATAAATATTTATTATTTAATATATTTAAACAATTAAAACTATTAATTAAAAACTATAGTTTAGAGATCAACGATTTACAAGAACTATTAGAACATCAAGAAAGAACCTATATTACCAATTTATATTTTTCAACAAATGAAATATTAAAACCACATTATATTCCTTCATCAGTAGAGAAATTGGTATTCAACGATGAGTTTAATCAACCTTTAACACCTAGTGGTTGTATTCCTTTTAGTGTTACTCTTTTAGAGTTTGGTGAAAGGTTTAATTATCCAATCGATGCAGAGGAGTGCATACCACATTCAGTACAAATGTTAACACTCGGAAAAGATTTCAATAAACCCATAGTATCACTACCAAAATCAATTCAAACATTGATATTTGGTGATTCATTTAACCATCAATTAATAATACCAGAAAATATAGATAATTTAAAAAAAATAAAATTTGGTGATAATTATAATCACCAGATTACAACAGTTCCCAAATGTTTAGAAAAGCTTATTCTAGGTGAAAGGTTTAATAAGAAGTTTCAAATCGATAGAGTTTCAACCTCATTACATACGCTATTATTTGGTGATAACTTTAATCAGCCTTTATCCTATCTACCAGAGTCTCTCGCTATATTGAAATTTGGAAAAAATTTTAACCAACCTATTCTACCCAATGTAATACCACAATCAGTAACAGTTCTTAGATTTGGTGCATGTTTTAATCAACCTATTACACTTATTAAATCAATAATACCCAGTTCTATCACAACTCTTGAATTGGGTTCAAATTATAATCATCCAATTACAGAAGGAGTTCTTTCAAAATCAAATTTAACAACTTTAAAACTATCAAAAAACTATAAATACTCTTTAAAGCAACCAAATATTATTCCATCATCAACTTCAACAATATTTGTTTAAAAATAAAATAATTCAAATAAATTTTTTTTATCCCAGTTTTATTTATATTTTTTATTCGCAAACCTGTTTGGTTTTTTTTATTTTTTTTTTATTTTTTTTATTTTTTTTATTTTTTATTTTTTTTTATTTTTTTCATTTTTTTTTTTAAAAACTATTTAAATAATCTTAAAATAATAATTTTTTTTTTTTTTTTTTAATAATAATTTTAATAATATAATAATAATAAAATGATGAAATGATTAAATTTTTAATAATAGTTTTTTTAATAATAAATTTATTTTTTATAAAACAAACAAAACAAAGTATCAATCATAAAATTTATTTAGATGATGAAAATGGAAATGATTTAAATAATGGAACAATTAATTTTCCATATTATTCAGCATGTAAACTTGCAGAAGTTTTATTAAATAGCTCAAATCCTTTAGGTGATAATTATAGTATATATTTTAATAATGGTGGCCGTTTTATTGGATATTGTTCATTAACATTGAATGGATATAGGAACATTACTTTTCAAAACTATACTCCACCAACTTTTGATAGTTCCAAATTACCTTCAAATAATGTAAATCCTAGTTTGTTAAATTTAGAGTTTCAAATTTTAAGTTCAAATGTATCCATTTCAAATGTCGATTTAATTTACGAGAGCTCTATTCTTTTAAAATTCAACTGTATCGATAGTAGTCTTCAATTTTATTCAAGTTTTTTCAAATTTGTTATTAGTTTTTCCTCAGAATTTATTAGGTCACAAGTATTTTTTTCAAACATGAAATTAATTCAAAACTTTTATTCCCAATTACTTATTCCAATCAAAGATTCAAGATTTGAAATTTATAATAGTTCTATTCGTTATCAAAGTTTTCAAATTTCAAACACCACTTTTATTTCAAATGATTCGACTTTTGACAATTGCTTTTTAAATATAGATCCTATTGGTGATAATATGAAAGGAAGTTTACTTTTTAAAAATTCAATAATAGATACAACCCAATTTAATTTCAGTTCAATCTCAAATCAAAATACAAAAGAATTAGAGATAACAATTATAGATTCAAGTGTATCTTTATCATATTCAACAAATATAATATTTGGTTTAGTCAGCAATAATAAATTAATAATAAAGAATTGTAAATTTAGTTCAATTGGTATCTATTTCATTAGTCTTTTCGGTGGTAGTAATGCAAGTTTGGTAATTCAAGATACACAGTTTATAGGATTTAGATTTGGTAGTGGTTTTCTTTCAATGGAAAATAGTACCATCGACATTAATAACATTACCTTTTCCTTTGTCCAATCTAAATCATACTTTTACCTTTATGAATGTAATGCAACATTAAGTGAAATACATTTTGGTGACTTTTATAAAGAGTCTGATAATTTAAAAGGTGATACATTGGTAGATATTAAAAAGCCTTCAAATTTAGTCATTAGAAATAGTCAGTTGGTTTATTCAGGTAATATAATATTGGGATATTATAATCCAGATGGGAATGTAAAGTTTTCAAATATTACCATTTCAGATTCAAAATTTTATGACACTCAAGGATTTCAATTTACAAAATCAAAAATTCAATTTACAAATGTAATAGTTAAAACATTTAGAAATCTAAAAAGTGTTTTTGACATTAGCTTCCACAGTTCTTTTAATTGTAAAAATTGCCAAATTTCAAGTACAAGTTTATTGGGTTATATATTTTATATCAAAAACTATTGTATAGCTATTCTAGAGGATTCTTTTATTTCAAATTCATCAAGTATTGTATATTCAAATTATTATTCAATTATAACATTCAAAAACTGTTCCATTCACGATGTATATTCAACAAATACCAATATGTTTCAAATTGAAGGCACTTCTGTATTTTATTTGGACAACTGCAATGTGTACAATGTATTCTGTGTTGGCCAAAGTTTTCTCTATTCTTATGGTTCAAAAGTTTTTTTTAAAAACAATAGAATCAAATCCAATAGTTATGGTTTGGGTGGTTTAGTGAATATGGTCTTTAGTAATGGCATCTTTTTAGAAAATTCAATTGGTTTTTCTTCTTTTCAAAACTATTTATTCAATTTCGAAAATACATTTGTAAGTATGGAACGTACAATGATATCGTTTGTCACATGTGGAAACAAAGAAGGATCACTATTTACAATTCTTAATGGAAATGGTGTGGTATTTAATGATACAACATATGAAAGAAATTCAGTCCCAGTTTTTTATAATATCAGTTCTTCATATGTTCAAATTAAAGGTAGTTTTTTAATATATAACTCTGGTATCTTTGCTCAATCGTTTTCAAATAGTAGGGTTTTAATTGTTTATTCAACATTTTTCTCAATTCCATCAGCTACATTCAAATATTTGTTTTTTTTTAAAGAAACTATTGCCTACTTGTATAAAATACAATTATCCGATAGCGTTTTCATGGGAAGTAGTCTTGAAGCTCATAACTCTACCATTAGCCTATTCTTTGTTGACTTTATTGGAAATTCTATTTTTCTTAATAATAATAGAGAGTCATCATTTCTAATATTTAAAAATTCAAATGTAACAATTAAAAGCTCTACTTTAGATGGAAATATCCAATCATCAGATAATTTAATTGAATTTTACAATTGTACAGCCACCTTTAAAGATAACTCAATCAGCTATAATAAAATAGAAAAACTTGGTTATTTAATTTACTTTAATAATTCAACAGTATTTTTCAATTCAACAACTTTTAAAAATTCAACAAGCTCAAATGGCATGTTAGGTTTCTTTGATAATTCAGAATCAACTTTTTTCGAAAATAATTTTTTAGATAATGTAAATCAAGGTAATGGTGGTATAGCTTATTTTGATAGCTCTTCCAATGGTACATTTAATAATAATAGTTTTATAAATACATTGTCTCAAATTGGTGGTGTATTATTTACTGAAGAGTATTTTCAATCGAATCAATATAATAATAATATTTTTAATGGTAATAAAGCAATCTATGGTAATACAATTGCAAGTTGTAAGTATTAAACTTTAAAAATTATTTTTTTTCAATAAATATTAATTTTTTTTTTTAGATGGAAATTTAATATTATTATTATTACCAGATGATGAATCAAGTTTTCCAATATCATATATTAGTGTAATTGATTTTTATAATAATGTGGTAACAAATTTAAATAGTATTGTAATTGTTCAAATTTTTACATTATATACAAATGGTTCAACAAGCGAAATTACATTAAATATTTTTCTTAAAGGTGGTCTTGGCTCATTTTCCTTTTCTTTTAATGCTCCATCAACTGTGGACCATTTTAAGCTCGATATTGAAATCCCAGATTTGGGTTTAAGCTTTTTAAATGCAACAAAAAATAAAACCCAATGCCTACAATTTCAAATATATAATGGTGAAACGGGCCAATGTCAATTTTGTCCATATAATCAAGTTTCAATTCAAGGAATATGTACACAATGTCCTGAAAAAATGAAGTGTTTAGACTCTCATATCTATACTATCGATAATTATTATTTGATCATTAATTCTCCATCAGAAAAGGAAATTGGCATCAACTCTGTTTTTAAGATCTATCAATGTCCATTTGGTTTTTGTTTTGAAGACAATCAATGCTATTCAGATAATGCAAAAGATATTTTATGTTCAAGATGTGAAGGTGACTACTTATATGAACCATCTAAATCTAAAAATGGTTTATATTGTTGTTCAAATGGATTCAAACCAGTGTTAATTTTAGGTTATCTTTTTTTTAATATCGGTTTTGCTTTGGTACTTTCTAACTATAAATATAGTATTGCTGGTAGTTTATTGGGATCCATTATAATTTTGATTCAAATCAACTCAATTGTTTTCTTTAGCTATCCAGGTTTATATATATTACCATTATTTAGAACATCTATAGATTTCATTTTCAACTATTGCACTTTTAAAATCAACTATCTATACAAATTTAATATTCAGTTAGCTACTATTTTTATTGTCTATTTAATTGGGATTTCAGATATTACATCAAAATTAATAGTATGGTTTTATAGCAAACAAAAACTACGTTTCTTTGGTAGATTATTCATATCAAGTGACACAATTCAAAGAATCTCAAAAGAAAATAAATCAAATTTACATAATTCAAAAGTTTATTGGAATGTTTTTTTAATGATTTTACAACCCCTTTTATTCAATTTATTTTCAATTATAATATCAAAAAATATTGAAAATCAAAATTACTTAATCATGGATATAACAATTCAATATTATTCAACTTCACATATTATATCATTAGTATTTAGTATAATAATAACATTCATATTAATCATTTTAATCCCATCAATAGTAATATTAAATATATATATATATCAAATCAATAATAGTAAACCCAAAAATAGTTTAATTATCAAAAAATCAATTTATAACAGTTTTAAATATTTTCATCACTACAGAAAAGAATTTAGGTGGTGGGATTTTATATTCATCTTAAAAAATATATTGTTTATTATTTTATCAATCACTCTTGTATATACCCCAAACTATTATTTATTATCAATCATTTTAATACAAGTTATCTTTTCATTCTTTCACTTTATATTACATCCACAATTAAAAAGAAAAAATTATTATTTAGAAAATATTTTAAATTTATCACAATTAATTTTATTCTTATTAATTAATTCAAATCTTGTCAATATTTTGGATTCATATTATATAGGTTTAATGATTACAATCATAACTCTATTTACAATTTTTTTAATAATAATTTTAAACTATAGAAAAATCTATAAATTATTTTATATAAAAAGAAAAAAAAATTTAAAATAAAATAAATAAATTGGTTTTTTTTTAAATTAAATATGTTTAAAAGTTTTTATTTAGTTTTATTTATTTTATTTTTTTAAATGTTAAAATGGTCATTCGTAACCTTTTGTCGAGCTTTTGATTTGTATCTTTTAAAACATTGTGTCATTTGTTTTCTCCATTGTAATCTATATAAACATTTTAAATTAACTTCCCAATCTTCTGGCTCTTTAAATAAATTATGTTCCATATATTTTAATGAGTTTGGTGAATCTCTTGATATATCAATATTGCTATTGTTATTTACACTATTTTCGTAACAAGTTTTATTATTATTAACTTTACAATTATTATTACAATATTCATTATAACTGTTATTATTATTATTATTATTATTAATTTTATTTTTTTTATTTTTATTTTTATTTTTATTTTTATTTTTATTTTTGTTTTTAATTTCTTTTTCTTCTTTTTTGATATTATTTAGATTGATAACATTGATTATTTTATTTATTTTCGATATAAAATCATCTTGATAGTTATAGGCAGGATATCTCATTTTCATTATTAGAAAAATTGATAAATAAATAAATAAATAAATAAATAGTGTGTGGTGGTGATATTTTTTTTTTTTATTAATTTTATTACAAAAATAATAGTATGAAATTAATATTATAGTTTTATTAATTAAATTTATTGTTTATTATTAAATATAATTAAATTTTTAATTGAACAACAATAAACAAAAGAGAAAAATGAATTTAAAAGAAATAAATATGTTTTTTTTTTTATTTTTTTAAAAAAATAATTATAATAATTATAATAAAAAAATATTATTTAAATTAATATTAATATACATATATTTTACCTTTTTTATTTTCTAATCATCACTTTGGAAAAATCCCACGCTACCACACAACACACTGTTAGTTAGAAAAAAAAATAATAAAAAAATAACTACTGCCCCCACTTTCTCCCACACAAATAAAAATATTTATGTCTTTATATATTTAACATATATAAAAATGTAACACACTATTTACATAATAAATATAACAATAACAACAAAAAATATTGGTTTAATTAAAAAATTGTCCACATGAGCACAATAACCAATAATAATCAACATGATTAATTAGTGTGTTTAGTGTGTAGTGTGGTGGGTATTGAAAAAAGTATCATAATAACAAATAAAATTATTTCTTTTGATAATGTGTATTTCTAATTAAAAACACTTACACAACACTTTTGAAACACAAACATGTATCTGTGTTGTGTGAATGATAAGTTATAAACTTTTAATTTTTTTTTTTTTTTTTTAACACAAAAATTTCTTTTTTAAAAAATTATTATAGACAAATTTAGAACATTGTGTGAATTTAATAATTTGAGTAGGAAATGTGTTAAAAATGAATTTTTTGTTATGGTGGAGTGAATGATAATGATAGTAGGTATAAATATATTTAAATGATTCCCATCTTTAACTTATTTGGATAATATTAATAAAACACATAAATGATTATATATTTAAAAAAATAAAATTAAAAAAAAATAAAAATTTACATTTTTTTTAATTTTTTTTTTTTTTAATTTTTTTTTTTTTTTTTTTTAAATTTTATAAATATAATCACATATATAAAAAAAACGAACCTTTCAAAAAAATGAAAATAGATTATCGATCAAATAATCCTATAAAGACATATACACCACTTGACTATTCAATATATAAAAATAAAAAATTAAATAATAATAATAATGATAATGATTATATACAACCAACCACTGCAATAAATAGAGTTAATAGATCAGATGAACAATTTAGACAAATTTGTAAGTTTTTTTAATATATACTCAATACTATTTAAGCCATATACTCAATGCAAAAAAACAATAATTTTACGATCCCTCTAAAAAGAAAGGAGAAAAAAAGAATTTTTTATATATTATAGTTTATTTCTGCATCCTATATACTC